TAACACTTAGTAGTAATATATTTTATGTGAGCTTGCTATCTTAAGTCCTTTGATATATTACAACGCCTAAACTTTTTACTTTCAGACCTATGTTTTCAAAATTTTACACAATTTAAATTTCTCATTTTTCAACTATACAGGAAGGTGTTTTCTGTTCAAAAGAATTATTTTTATCATGCAGACTGAAGTTTGCTTCTTGGAATGAGGTAAAGGCCTTGTTTTTATTTACAATATTTAAACAGGCTGTAAATAATTGAAAAATGAATTCTACGAATACTTCCTTGGTTTGAAGAATAAGAGTCGGATTATCACACTTTACTTTTATATAAGAAATTTCAGCTGAAAATCAGCAATTAAACAAGAATCAGGTTCAAATCTAGCATTATTCAACGATGAAAAGCTTTCCTACCCCTTTACTGTATGAAGAAAAAGCATTCACAAGAAAAGTTTTATGAAACCACGAACACTTATGCGAGCTACTTTAGATTACGTTAGATAACATAGACAAAGAAACTATGTAACAGAGGCCTGAATATAAACTGCAGCCGGCGAAGCAGAACCAAAGCAATAAAATCATTCAGTTTCGTATTATTTTCCTTTTAACACGTGGATACGAATCAAGAAAGCTGTTCTAATCTGTCTATAATTTGAATCGCCGAAGCTTCAGTCGAGGACAAACGAGCTAGCTTGCCTGATTATTACGTGCATGCTTTTCGGCATACTTAGAAAATCGTGCGCAGAAAATAGCAGTGGGTAATGCCCTCTCGTCCTTTGATTGTGACGTCAGGTGTGCCCAAATGACGCCCTTTGAACTCATTAGCATTCTTAATTAGTACACTTTCTGGCACTTTGCATGCTTCCACTATTACTTCGATGAAAAGTGCTAAAATTTGTTGAAAAATTATTCTTTCGTTTCTAAATATAAAGTGACTAATAGTTCATAAGTGGGTAGAATGAAGACTATTTATCTAGGACGTTCGACTTTAAAAGATGAGAGAGGTCATCGGAAGTCAATTGTTAAACATGAACGTTAATAGGAATTCATTTTTTTTTCGTACGTTAGTCTGTTACAGACAGTGAGATTAGGTAAGATATCATAGTACTTTCGCTCCGACTAGTCTTCTATCCTCAAGTGACGTATTTTGTTTTTTTCTACTAAATTACATGAGTGAATGCCGTTCTGTGAAATAAATATTGATGAACTGCCGTTAGATGATGATCATTTCTCCAGTATTTCAAGACTCAGAATAATAATAACAACATTATCAATAAGTAAGTATATTTTATAATAGAGGTGTGATGATCTATGGTAATCAGTGCCATAACAAATGTGATTTGTCAGTGGAGGAAAGAATGAGGGAAGAATACCCCGCCTTGCGGCTACCGGTGCAGGGTGCTGCCGTGGCACCCTGATTCAATAGCCCGATGTCTTCCTTGTAGTTGACAAGCTTCTGAAATGGTCACCCATCTCGTTACCAGTCATTAATTTCAGCTCTGGCCAGAAGGCTAGCCTGATGCAGAGTTCTTTCGCCCAATTACTTGAGCTCCTCATACACACTTCACTAATCACGTACTAGCTTTCCGGAAAGCCACGAAGACTAGCCGAAGAAGCTGTACTATACGATAATATGCGCATAAAAATACCTGAAGTTTGGTTAACATGATTATAATATGTATCACTGTCTGGATCCTATCCAGAATCACTACACTTGAATGTTCTTTGTCGTTGAGAATTCCTTGATAGCTATTTGAACAGCCTTGAAATGTGATAATGTTATGAACCAGTTTGTCACTTGTTTGTTTCATCAATGTATGGTACAACACTTTTAACAACTGTTCAATAGTCGTCAAGATTTAGGGCAGTTCTCAGTGTCAGAAGAGACATAAACAGCTGACTACCGTGCAACAGATCTTTTAAGTTATTATATAACTTTTTTCTTTGATTTTGTGTACACACCGTATACTTTCAATGGGAAATACCAATCAAGAAATGGGTCAAACATCGATCGTAGGAATCTTGGTTATTATTCAACCACCAGGAAGAAATACATGAATGTTAAAAGTGATACAAAGAGCAAGGAACTGGTACAGATAAAATTGTGTGAACACAGAGAACAGCAAATAATCAATACAATCGTCGTTCAGTAGAAACAACAAATCATAAAGGCTGACGATAGTCATATATCTTTATATCCCTAGTCCAGACATGGCGACCCAACCTGACCGAACCCAGGGGATTGTTGCCCTAGGGAATTGTTCAACAGTAGTCAGATACAGCAAGCGCATTAGGCAACAAGTAATGGGCAGTTGACAGTACGTGTCTCTTATCAAACACCTAAGGAGTTACTATTCGCCAGCCTCTCTCCCATGTCATGGACCGTAAACTTTCTATGAAGAGATACCAAATTCTCATGTACAGAGCATAATTCCTTCCAGACTATACACATAATTCTCCAGAAAACACATAATTCTCGTGTGAAATCATTACTGTCGTGACCCAGTCAATAAAGTTTCTAACGAGCGATAGAAAATTCTCGTGAAGAGAGCATAAATCTCGCACAAAACAGCATAATTCTGGTGACCTAGAGCATCAACTTTCTATGAAGACATACAAAATTCTCATGTGGAGCGCATAATTCCTTGTAGACTATACACATAGTTCTCATACAAAGCACCATTATTCTCGTGTATAAACATTATTCTCGTGACCTTGGAAGGGATAGAAAATTGTCGTGGAGAGAGCATAATTCCTTCTAGACTATGCACATGAGAGTATTATCTCTTCTAGACCATCTGCGTAATTCTCACATAAAACTGTATAACTCTCCTGTGTAAAGATTATTGTCGCTACCTAGACAACCAGCTTTTTATGAATAGATACAAAATTCTCGTGGAGAGAGCACAATTCTTACACAAAACAGCAGAATTCTTGTGTAAGAGCATTAGTCTGGTGACCTGGGCAAAAGAGTTTCTATGAAGAGATACAAAATTCTGATATTTTCTTGCTTGAGGATGATTCTCATGCAAGGGAGCATAATTCGCGTGAGGAACTCAGGGAACAGGCAAAGTTGATATCGCTGTTGTTTTGTTACCACTCAGAGGTAACTTCTGCCAGGTTCGTAACCGAATTCTCGTGGGACGAACATAATTTCGGTTTGACGATTTCTCTCCCACTGCTGCATGTAACACCCACTTAATCGAACGTAATGTTGATACGTGACAGATGGGAATCCAGGCTGCTTAAAGCGATTAGTCATATATATAAACTTTAAAACAGAATAATATATATGTCTATCATATCTTCATATTTCATAGAGTCATACAGCATAAGTAATGACATTGTTACGGTTGCCGTAGGCATTATGTCAACAATCTCAGAGAATAGCAGTTTTCGTTGGTTTTGGTATAAAGCACAATGGAGGAAAAAATGTTCAAGTGTCTCATTCGCACCACATATACAGTACGGGTCAGCAGTGGGATTGCTAATGTACAAATCATGCCGCCTCAGTTGAGTTCGATCAACTCTACATCGACAAAAATGTATTTCATCTAAGCGCTTATTTACAAAGAGAAATCTTTTCTTGGCGAATGTTTAATTTTCTTTTGAAAAGAATTCAGCTTCATTGTACTACGTGTACTAAGCGGTAATTATTGCCAATCAATACGAGGTTGGTATATATGACTTGGTCGATGAGGGACAGAACTGAGATTCAAAGGCCGATATGAGCGCGAATGGATATTAGATTCATGATCAGCAGCGATAATTACCTATCAGCATATGAGTTTCAAGGAAAAACCGATTTTTAATTTGACGATCTTTTCTTGTAGGCTCTTCTTTATTTTCAGAAGGTATAATCTTGTCCTATGTGAAAAATAAAATGTTTTCCTCATCGCGATACTAAATTCAGATCCTATTAATGAAGCTGCGTCGAATTCCTAGTAATACCAGTGTTCGATGAAGTAAAATGTTTTTATTCTATTGCTAACGACTGATGATGACTTCTCCTTTCTTTTTGCGTATAAGACAAATACTTACGATTATCATTTTCGAAACTAAGGATGAACTTAGAGAAATGTGCGGGCAAGGTAAGTAAAAGAATAAATAACTGCTGCTATTTGTAGAAAAATATTTGCTGAATTTACTAATAAAAAAATGACAAGAATCAACTGTTAAAAATTAAGGCCAGAAATAGTATTAGTTCAATTAGAGGAGAAAAAACAAATCTCTGATTACCCGATTTTTTTTACTGGCTTTCGGTTATTTTTAACAGATCGTTTTTACGATTGCTGTCTAAAGAACAATATGTATCCAATATTTACCAACCAAAAATTGCAAACATTTTTATCCACTTTTCAAAGTTCGTCATCAGAGTATTGACAGAATATAAAAAGCTTTCATTTTTTTCTAAAATGTTTCTTAATACAAAAAAGAATTGTTTCACTTCGTTTAAAATAATCTAAATGTTTGCTTGGTTATACGCGAATACTTTTACATTTCATGCGTCCTGTATGAGTCGCAGTAGAAATTGAAACGTAGTAGAAAACTTCTAGTAGAAATATGAAATGGCAAAATATTTTGATTTCTATCACGCTGAAAATTAAAATACATCATCAAAAGAAATGTGTATACAAGAAAGGGATTAGCGAAACAGACTTACAGAATATAGAAAAGAAACTGGCTGAGTTCGATGCCATTCAATCCCAAACAGTGTATTTTAAATTTGTTTAAAAGGTAGCTTCGCTAAAACTTAGGAAATTTTGATGAAAGTTTCAAGAAATGTATCACGAGCCGGTCAAGCACCTGCTTATCTCTTTTTGTTCAAGTGCTCTCATTCCATTCTCCATGCAAACTAACCTGTAATGTAAATTTTTTCTTTTGGTGTCTTTAGGGCTGCCGAGCTACAACGTGTATTATCGGAGACTTGCATCAGAACGTAGAGCGACATCTGTTGTATACTCATATGTGTTTACAGCAATATTTCGTTATGCGGATTTTCGGAATGATAGGCTCGAACCTTTTGCATCGAAAAGTAAACTCAGCGCATTCCATTCCCGAGTTATTCAAAAAACAACCAACTCCATTATATTTTGCAATGAATAGTAGAGGTTGTACAAATTGTTGAACACAACCCTAGTGAAAGTTCATGGATCCAAGAAATAGCAGGATCTTGGGGCAAGAAAGTCCCAAGATCTTGCTATTTCTCGTGCAAGAAACAATCTTTTTACCATCTTGGCGATACCAAATATTGTTGGTTATTTGAAAGCTGGTATTTTGAATGACAATCTATCAGAAACATTAAGTGATACATTTCAACAACGATTGCATCAATTATATGATGGCAATCTATGCGACGTTTATGAAGAATCAAAATCATTAAGGTTTAGTCTTCCTGCCTTTTCTGGTCTTAGTGGTTCTGGAATCTCCATTGAACCTGGTAAATTAGTTAGTGTTTTACACTCGTGGCATGGAGTGTTCACAATGGGGTCATTAATACTTAATTCGCAAATAATAAAAGACTATTTGGAAAAATCACAACATTGACCGCAACACTTTAGAACTGAGTTCGTTTTCGCATTGTGTTTATCGTTTTTTTTGTCCATTTCTTGATTTATTGTTGTTTACTTTTGTTAAATTTTCTTGCTAAGTCATATAATACTGTATATCGTTAATATGTCGCGAGCAGTTGCAAGTGAATCACAGATTGGGAATAAAACTCCAAGGCTTGGAATTTGAGTAATGAAAACAGAATTTTTGAATCATCAACAACTTTTTTAACGTTAGTAGTTATATATTTTAGATATAAAAATGTCTAAACATCTACTTAAGAGCACTAAAGCACAATATGCTAATTATTCGTCGACAAGGAATTCTTGGATGATTTTCTTACATTACGTTCGATTCTGATGCGTCATCTAGTAGTACGGGGTGCAAAAGAACTGACCCCAAACATTTTTGTTAATATTGTTAGAGTTTTAAAATAAGTTAACATAATAATATATTTAGCATGTGTGTAATTAATTTGCAACTTAATATAATAAACCTGGATAATTATTTTGTTTACTACCAACCAAAATAAAGAAAATTTCAAACTGAGTCGTGAGTTTTCTTTGAAAATTCCTGATTTTAAAAAGATTCTAAACAATGAGAAGGTTTCGTGATTGATCTTTGGATCATTATTTTATTATGAATATTAACATTAGAATTTTCTTATTTTATTCATACTTATATTACATAATGACGAAAATAACTCAGATACGCTTCTATATGTAGCTTTTTCCTCACTTTCTACCCAATTTTCGACTAATAATCAACAACAGCTTGTTACTGACAAGTAGAAATCACACGAACCTGGATATTTTTTCCATTTTTCACAGATTTTTATGTACTGAATCACTCACAATTTATAGAACGTGACTAATAATGTTTCCTTTGCTAATAAAATGTCACTTCCTCTTGATGATACTTTCTCTCGTTTCATTTGAGTGTATTCTCTTTAGTTAAAAAAAACTAAGCTTCTAATCCGTGTTTCAAAAATCTAAGAAAACTACATTTTTTGGAAAACTTTTTGAAAATCCTAAGTGCATGAGAAGCAGCTTCGACATCTTCGCAGTCTTAGCGTGGTGAAAATTCTCAAAATGTGTGATTTAGTGCTTCATTTCATAGAAAATAAGCGAAATTTAACATTTTCGGAAAATCTTGGAAAATCAAAACTAGCTAGCAGATTTCTGATAGCGCCATTAGACTCAGAGTCACGAATTACCTCAGTGTTTTCAGCGTTAAAAAATGTAAACTAGTCCAAATTGCTGCCTGCTCTTGCATAAACTGCCCACTGTGAAGCGGTCCGACGTTTGAGTGATTTTCGAACTAGAGTTTAACTTTTACGACTCGAGCTGCATATTCGCGTTTTGACTATCATCTCGTTCATCGAGGATGGGAAAGAGCAGATGGATAGTGAGAATGAGTGAAAGAGCTGAAAATCTAATACAAGAAAATCAATATAAAAATATACTAACAGGAAAAGTCGAGCTGGCGACGTTAAAACTAGCTTCTGGTCGAGGACTAATCATCCCGGCCGGGTAAAAGAAAACCGATTCTCGACAATCACAAGCAACCACGCGGACGGTCCCTCGGGAGGTCGTCCGCATTTGTGACATCCCGCCGCCCGAAAAATCTACAGTCGCCCAACTGATATGCAGCACACATTTGATGACAGAAGCTGAGATAGAGAAGGCTGCGCAAAATCGCGAAAAGTGGAGAAAGCTAGTGATCGACTGCACACGCTATGACGCCATTGCAGTTGTCTGATGATGATGATGATGACAGGAAAAGTTCTAATATTCAGCTCACTCCAACTATAGCTCCAGTAAGCGGACGAGTTCAAAGAGGCTCAACAATGCTGGAGACCGTATAAGAGATGGCTGTAGATGAGATTACGGATGGTCTCCTTATTGGCACCTGCAATGAGTGTCAGTACAATTTACATGCATCAGATTTTCAGCTCTTTCACTTACTCTCACTAATAGTGAGTTACTATCCACCTGCTCTCTCACCCTTCTCCGACGGACGAGATGCTCGTCAAAACACGAATCTACAGTCCGACCGCAAATTGTAGTTTGCGAATTGCTGCACTTCTTAAAATAACCGTGGTTAACCACCGATTTTCGCCTGATTTCGACAACATGAGATGATCTCGCATCAGATATCTCACGTAATAAAACTTCTTTTCCGGTTCTCCAACAGATTCTTTTTGAATTTCAGGTCTCATTTGAACTGCATTTGTAGAAAGGTATATATGCAAACGATTTAAACGCCATTTCCTCAAAAGAAATCAGTTCATTTGTCCAATAATTTTATTCCGTTCTTGTTAGATGGAATCGGAAAAGGAACTTTTAGGATGTAAGATTACGTTTCTTCTTATAAGACAAGCATCATTTAATCAGCTAGAAGCGTAGAGAGGGCTGATTATCATTGCACTGCTTTTGCAAAAAAGACTAAACTTGATCGTGCGTTAAAATATTATAAAGAATAAAAGCAAGAAATAGTTAAAACGTGTCTTTCGACCACGATAGCATAGTTACTAGTTGTATTAATATTAGCAAAACTCTAATTTTCTATTTAGAAACTTTTCCTAAACGGCTTAATGGAATACACTGATTTCGGAAAGATTGAATTTCTCGACAATGAAGCAAAGTTTTTCAAAAAGGGCACTTAACTTTCTTTCCACAAGTGTGGCGACCAGAATGAAGTAAAAGAAACACTTTTATCTTACAAATCCTAAGACTGGATATGTTTACAAAATTGCCTGACAGCCTTTTTATCATTCTGCTCGTACTTCACATATTCTGAGTACATTTTAGGTTCTATAATTTCCAAAATTAGCTTTCTGTACTCAGTTTTCAACGGATAAAATCTGTGTGGTAGATTATTTTTGCACTCATCTCATTAACTCTAAGAAAAAGGTTTAAGTTCCTTGAACTTTTCGAAGGGAAAAACAAAAAATAAATCGGTCATTATTTTTTTCAATAATAATCATCGCTTATGTCGGCATACACACAGCCACAAAAGGAATACAATGGCTCGTTAAATACTGTTAGTGTTCGTTTGCCCATACCCAGTCCTGCTGTAATAATGCTAATTCATCAAATTCTGAATCGCTAAATGTGTCACAATAATAATGAAGTAATGTTTTTTAATAATTTGTACGAGTAGCATTATTTATTTTTGTAATATTTAGTTTTTAAACTCTCGTCCCTCCCTCCTCCCATAATAAAAGACCATCTGGTCTTCTGTTTGGCCCGGCAAGTCGAATTCTAAAGAATAATGTTCTGCTGCGGTCAAATTTTGTTGTCTGCTAGTAGCCCAAGGTAACCTCCACATACTTGAAGTCCATCCCCTATTAGAAGAATATTTCAGCGAAAGTTTCTTGAAAATTGCCTTAAAGGTAGGGCATTTTCTGATTTTTTTGGCAGACATAATAGAAGACCAGTGGTGGTCTTCTATTCTGGAGAGGGGGTTAGAAGACTATGGTCTAATGTTAATGTTCTGTTCTTTTTCTTTGTTGATTTTTTCCTCAAATGTACATTCTTTTGAGTCTATTTCTCGATGTTAGTCGACCTTTTCAGATTCAAATTTCTTTTGATTCTGCAGCTATATACTGTAGCGGTATTGGGGGTCACCTCCTTCAAGGGGCTTTGCCGTTTAATACCACCTATTTCGTTGTAGATAATGTGGGATATTTTCAATGATATTGTGACATTAAAAGAGCAGTATCCGAGGAAAAACAATAATTGGATTATTTCACAGCTCTAGCGCTGTCTCTGTTCAATATACTTTTTGACACTTTATTCTAAAAACCTGTCTGACTAATAAACTGCTGAATGCGTAGTATAAATAACACAAATAATAGTGGAAAATAATGATTTTGCATAAAAACTTGAAAAAGATCTACCAGCACCCAAAAATAGAGTCAAAAGAACGTACATGGCCTGATTCGCGAAAAAAGTCAACAAAAAAAGACAGAGAACAGAACATTAATAATATAGATGCATTTGTTTCATCTAGTACGGAGAACCTCGAACATCGTTTTTAGCATCTTACTTTTTTACATCAAAAATGTACAAACATTAGTTGATATTAAATAAAATCCTCTTTTCCACTATTCTCCATTGACCTTGTTAACATTTTATTTCCCAAATACTGATATCCAGTTATCTCTCTGCATATGAGTAGAGAATCCTGCTTTCATTTTAGCTCTATCTTCTGTACAATGTCTAACAAGTATATTAGCTACTTCTACTTGATTTGACTGGTCAGTGGAACCAATGATCCATTCCGCGCCGGATAACTCTATTTGTCTATTACCGAGCCATTCCGTTAATAAAGAGATTTGTTTAGCTTTATTAAAGGCATATTGCGCTTCTTGTTTCCATTTGTGAGCCTCACTACCAGTAATAGTACCGAAATTTGAACTACCACCAGTGTTACCACCCGTAGCAGAAGGAAAGCCACCCATATTGCCCATGCCTGTCGCATGTTGTTGTTGTTGTGGACCACGATTGGTTTGTTGTTGTTGTTGATGACCAAAACCTTGCTGTGACTGGAACGGATTTGGACCAGGACCAGTTTGTTGTTGATGACCAAAACCTTGCTGCGGGTGGAATTGATTTGGACCAGAACCAGTTTGTTGTCGTTGATGTCCACCAAATGAAGAATTTCCGGGGCCACCAAATTGGCCTAGTCCAGGCTGCTGCTGTCCTTGAAATGGAAATGGATTTTGTTGTTGTTGAGCTGAATCACCTGACATGTTGCCCATCATTTGAGCACGCATCCCGCCGAAAGGATTCTGCATTTCTTATCTAAGTATATCTGTTGAGTTATAACGACAAATGCATATTTTGCACGATAGCTCCCTTTTTATATAACTTCTTGTTATTGAAAAGAGAATGAATCAAAAAAACATTATTTACAACGTCAACATATCAAGCGATACGTGATCATAATAAATATTTTCTTTCTAATATTTTCTTTTTTTACGTAGTTGAAAACCTTTTTGCTTTTTTATGTAAAAACCGAAAAAACTTGCGAGTGTATATTCGGAGTAAATCTAGGTAAGTAAAACCTTCGGAAGGACTTATTTTTAGCATTGCCACTTGAAACAAAGGACGTGGAGGTAAAATAAAGAACACAGACGAAAACTAGTCAATAGAAAACATATTATACGTAAAAACCTGATGTGTGGGATATGTTTTATTATTTCATTCTTTTTACATTCTGTTATTCTCTTTCTTTCGTTCTCTTTTTTTTGTTATTTCTTGAATTTTTGTATAGAAACAAATTAATATGGAGTTCTCCCTCCTTTTTTGTACAAGGAAAAGCTACTTTGTCTTGACAAATACACAGTCAAAAAGGGAAAGGCTGAGGTACAATTTTTCTCCGTTATTGAACCAAAAGCGGCACGCAGTTAAGTTGTCAATAGTTTGAAAAAATGAAACTATCATCTCTCTTGCGCTAATCAATAGGGCCATGAACACGCAAAAACTTTTTCCTTATACTTTCATCTTACTTTCCACATCAGAAATAAAAAAATTACAACGACGTAAAAACAAAATACTAAAAAGAAAGAAAGCAAATGATTATTATGATGACGTTTTGATTGATGTGTTGACGTTGTAAATAATATTTCTTTGCTTCATCTTCTTTTCAATGAAAAGAAATTATATACAGTTAAACATTCTATGCTCTTATGCCTTTAAAGTCGATTCCACTTATTGTATATATACAAACTAAAACATACAAATGCGAACAATGTTCACCGTGCCTTTTTTTTACTTTTTCCTCTTGGTTTTTTGTGGATGACGTGTCGGTTGATACGCTGACGCTGTAAATAATGTTTCTTTGATTCATCATCTTTTCAATGACAAGAAATTATATACAATAAAACATTGATATTCATCTTTCTCACACACACAATTATTCATTGAAATGTAATCCAGAGTCCAAAACGTATTGCAATAAGTATCAAATGGAATATTTGTATATTTTTTACTTGTCTCTATTTGTTTTTTTTTCCGAAACGGACGACACACTTTTTAAATTCCGATTTGTCGACAGTTTTTTTTTCCTGAAAAGCCGACACGCCTGAATCAAAGGCTACCGACAATTTCTTAATTGTCAACACTTTTTCTTATGTAATTAACCTTATGCATACACATGAGTAGAAAAATAGTACTATAGTTCACAGAAAACTTTACCGAGCTATTGCTGGTTCATCTGTTATTGGTATTCTCTTATGTTTTTTACCAATTGTTTTACTAATTTTTGATAGATAATCATCCCTAATTAACGTACCTTTTTTATAACGTTCCATTAAATCCAAAATCCGTGCATTTCCGAGTACATAAATTTTCAGCCGTGATACTTTTCTTTATTGAGCTGCAGCTTTCTGGTTCGTCGCGTATTCGACGTTTTAGTTTTGTACGAAATTCTTCACAGGCATTACGATTTTCATCTGGTTCGTGATTGTGTAGTGCTGTAAGAATTGAAGCACTGTTGTCTTCTTATGTAGCAATTGGATCGCTTCTCACAACGCCAATAGACATTATTATTACACGTTCGATCTTTCAAATACCGATAGCCATCAAACATCGTTTTCCTTTCTGTGTTTCGATAACTGAGTACATTTTATTGTATTACTTATTAATTTTAACTTGTTTCAATACTTTATAGTCGATGATATGCAAAGTCGAAGAAAATTCACTATAGTTATTATAGACCATATGGCCGAGTCATTCAGTGCACTGTTCAGTTTATAAATTCTGCTGGAAGAAAATTGTGTCGCCGTTTAGAGAACTACTTTTATACACTGCCAGCTTTTATACCAGAATTTGATGTAGTTTTCCGTATTTTTTACAGCTTGAAAATACAGTTTGCATTGCAGTTGGATTATCATTAATAATCTATTTCTGGTAAGAATAAGAATAAGACTTTTTTAAGCATACCAATGAAATCGGCCTAGTGATTTTTGACTAAATAAACTTCATTCTTGTTTTTTGTATTGATTTCCCGATAGCCCAAGGTGTCCTCTTCAGAATGAGAGTCGAACGAAACCTTGATTTTCCACGGCTCGGGTCTTGTATCAGATTTACTACGCATCCCAGGACTGGCACCCGGTGATCGGTAGTCTTAAAAATGGATGGTCAGTAAGGTAATCGATCATGTCAAATTTTTTCTTTTTGTAAAATTTCATTTAAAAATCCAGTTTAAGACATCTCGAAAATTCCTTCGATGCTTCACGCAGAAGTTGATACTGAACAAGTTTTGTTCCCACACTTTTGTTCTACCGTGCTTTCCTGAATGTTTAAGGCCCTGGACGATTTTGCTGTCTGGGATTCTGAAAAACCGGTCTTGACAATCTTTATTTTTTTCGATTTTTGACACTTCCATTGGATTCTGTATGTAAACGTGTCTATGTTCCATAAGTTGCAGATTTTCTGAACACTTTCTTCTGGCTCGGAAGAAAAGAGAAAGTAGCATAAAAATTTGAGTGCCTTTTTTCCGCAATGCAGCGTCAAAGTACTTTTAATTTTAAGGATTCACATTTAAAATATTAAGAGTTTCTATCTACGTTTTTTTGTCATTGAATACGGTTCAGCGACTTGCTGTTGAAATTTTCCTTCTTACAAACTCATCCTTTTTTCATGTACCATGATTACTATCTAAATAAACTAAACTAAGATAAACCTCAAACATTCTTTTTGCTGTTCGTATACTTTTAACCAGAAACATTTAACACGTTGGCTGACAGAGTCAAAAAACACAAAGCTAAATGTATCACCGGTGATGCATTGACAGCCAACATATCCCGATTTATGTGAGCAGAGGACTGCCTCCTACATTCCTTTTTAAATAAACAAAAAACGTAAACGATGACTGTTCAATAAGTGCAGTTCTTTTTCTTTTTAAACGAAAAACTATTTAATTACATTTTAGTTCAAAATAGCAAAATGTTAAAATGATCTACAACATTGTTTATTATGATCATTTGTTTAAATATTCAATCATCTTTTTATAGATATTTTGCGAACGTTTATAATTGCTATCTGCTTGAGAGACTTGGTCTGAACGATTATGATCATCACCAATTTGTGTGTAACGTAATGAAATATCGATGGATAATTTGAATAACAAACGTTGTCTTACACTGTAGATACCCCAAACTTTTGAATAACGATCAGACAATGATGTAAGAAATCCAAATTCATCATCGGCACAAAATATATAGATTGAATGTATCTGTGGAAAATCATGGACGATTAAAATAAAATCTGAAGCGTTTTTCATAGATATGATCAGAAAAATATCTTTTGTTTTATTCAAGTGAATGTATTGTAAGCATATATCGATATCGTTGAAAGATTGTATTAATTCAAATAATTGCTCTTGTATTTGGTTGGTAATCTCATCCATATCCGTACCACTGTTTAACAAGACGAGTGATAATATCGTGTCAGAATCTAGCACAAATAAAACGTGAATCAAAATGGTTATGGTAGTTTTTCCGGAAGACATTGAAATCTTTAGTTTGAAGAGATATTCTATCAAAACAAAAATTCCGACTAATTTATTTCTCATTCATTTACCCTTATCTTGTACGTCAGTTTTTGTCTCAATGGTTGATGGTTTATCTCTTTGTTGTTGATTTTGGTCTTGTCTAATGGTTACGTTTCTATCATCGGATGGAGGTTGATTATTATAATTCGACTTAAAATCTAAAAACAATATCGATTCAACTCGATAACTAAGTGTTAGAAATATTAGCAGAGTTTCACTAAACTTTGTTCACAATGATGTTAAGAGCACGAGCTGTTAATGAACTAAATACATTTTTTAACATGAACAGGGCATTTATACCTTCATCCATTTAATTTTGTTCTTGGTTATAAACACGTTAAGAAAAACTGAGCGTTTTGTTGAATATTTTCTTTTCTTTCTACATAATTTTCTAGAATTTTCTGATTAGAGATGACACATGCATTCACATTACACTCAGATTATGAAATATTTGCAAGTTACATTTTTCATACAACTATCAAAATGGCGACTTTGCCAATCAGAAAAGAAAGCATAACGTAATAAACATTTATGGATCAAAGTAGAGCACATACGCAGAAATATTCGAATTAGGATAAGCTGCTTGCTTTCTGCTGATCCTTAATTCTGATATATCGAAATTTCAATAAAAAACTCAAAAAAATTTGCTTTTATTGAAAATAATAGATTTTTTAGTAGTAATGAATTTACATCAGAAAATTACGTGCAAGCTCCGCAGCGGACCAAACCTGACGAAATTAAGATGGTATATGCAGAATTTCAAGGCGAATCCGACAGTCTGATTCTTATGGGAGTTTCTCAAACACACACACCTGCATTCCTAACACAATTCAAAATTCGATATCTTCAGTTCTAGACAAGATATTTATTTGAAACCTTTGGACCAAGTAGATCAGCTATGGGGCTGGCTAAAAGAAAAATGTCATCGCTTGAGTTGTTAGGATAACAGAGAAAAAAGATTTTCAGAAAGTAGAAAGTCGTCTGCTTTGTAATGAAATATTGACCATATCTCGAGAACAAACGAACGATTAGAGATACACCTAGACGGGGTACTCAATACTTGAAACTTTAGTCTCGAATAGTTTTGATATAAAAGTGCCAGCATCGAAACTTTTCGAGACTATTTTTTTATGTTGTTGTGAAGCTGTGTAACGTTCTTGTAAGAATAAAAAAGAAAATAGATAGTTAAACGAAACAAAACCAAGGTGGTCTGCTGGAGCCCTTGCTTGCTCGGGAAGATAGCCGACATACCTTGGGATTTAGGGCGGCAGATGCCTTCTGTTGTTTTCTGAAAAGTTAGACCTTACAGAGTTATCTTTAACGCATTCAGCTTTAGTCCAGTTCATGACTACAAACGATTTTAAAGTTTTCTTAGCCTCATCAAGGTCTACTTATGATCAAAAGATGGAGATGAAAGCGCCGAATCAGTTGGGACAGCTCCCTCGTAAGTTTTAATTTCCTTTCTAAGCCCTAATTGCCATTATCATGACAACTTACGATAAACGTTGACAACCACTTATTGATACACTCATGCAAATACGTTTCTTGTCGCACGATTAGCTTACTGTGGTGAACGTACACTTCAGATACATCTTTCAAGGGTGTTAATGTCGCATCCGAATAGGTATCTAAGAAAACAGTTCCTTAGTTCAGTCAATTAAAAATACAACTTAATTTTTTGATTCGATATTCTTTTCGAAAACTTTGTATATGTTGTTACTCATCCTCCATTTGATAAATACAGTATCTATGCATGATTGTGTAGCACAGCTCATCTACAGCTTATAACTGTACTGTTAGTATCATTTCATTAACAATGGAAAAGAAAAAGAATAAAACAAAATAAATAATAATTGTTTACTAGTCCAGTCATTACATTAACCTTATTATTATTTACTCCTGACTGATTGTACATCGATGATATATTGCCGGATGACATCAATTAGTTGTTTCTTTATTGTAAACGGGTAGAGAAGAAACTGCTCGCATGATGATAGGAAGAAAGCTATGGTTCACCCAACTAAAGTCAATTCACATATTTTTGAAAGAACGAGCATTTTAATGGAAGTGTAAGATATTATCTAGAAATAAATACATATTTAAAGACAAGAAACTAAGTTTTATAAGGTATATAAATAGCATGAAAGAATATTTACACGAACTACGGTCTGTTTAAATAAGGCACATGACTATTTTTTAAATACCTCGTGAATGTGGTAGAAAGTTTGAATTTCCATTACTCGAAAGAAGAGGCTTTGAAGCAACCACATTTTTATAACGGATATGAATTCGAAAATAGTTTTTTAAAGTATGTTTTCCAGATTTCTGGAAAGCCAATTCGTGGCTCAAAAACTTCAGGTACGAATATTTACATATTTCTTCATGAACATCAAAAATGTCCACTTCGAAAGAGGTGTCAAGCGAGACCTTGATTTTCAGTGACTCATGCGTGGTATCGATTTCCTTGGAGCCTCAGGACTGGTATCCAGTGACTTCAAGTAGTCTTGAAATTGGGTGTAACATGCGTAATAGGTCACGCTGAATCTGAAGGCAATGTTTATTTTCGGAAAAAGATCCCAAAACAAGATGAAAACGAAGTTTTACCAAAATTGAGTTCTCCAAACTGTTTTAGCTTAATATTAAAAAAATTACAATTCACTCGAAAAACATCAGAATGAGTTGAAAATGTCAGGATACTAGTAGGATGCTCAGTCAGGATGCTAGTTTTCCGTTTCAGGAGGGAGGGCACAGTGACCCCAAAAACCAGGTGTTTCTCACAAGTTTTTAGTATATTAACTATAACTTAAAATTGGCACAACCTATTCTTTTAAGCTATAGCTCATTCGAAAAAGAATTAGCTGAACAAAATGATATATCAGGGAAGTTGAACATACGAAACCTGGAGTACTATTTTCAAATTACTCTCAAAGTCTAAAAAATATGATTTCTTTCACATAAATTCAGCGTTAAAATTGCCTTTTTCGAGTATTTACGCTAAAAATTTGAGCTCGAAAAGGTTGAAACAATGGTAAGTTATTCCTGTGGCAAGGGGCTAAATGGAGTTCTCGGTAAAAATACGTTAAACTTTATTTAAACTGTTTTTGTTACTAAAAATAATTTCTTCTTGTTTGTGGAGCGTAAATACTTTATTTTACAGAATTGTCTAATCAATTATTCCACGTTGTAAATGAAAGTTGTTTTGTTTTCTATTTTCATGAATTGTAACAGTTTGTAGAGCATTTTAAACTTGGATTTGCTTATGCAATAAAAAATATATTAAAAAACACAGTTTGACTTCTCGGTATCGAGAAAAAGTTTGATGTTTTCATCAGGTAGGCAACACACAATGCGTCGGCGACCTGATGAAAAC